ATACGAGTAATAGAATTCAGTTCATTCCTGCAAAAATGTCTACATATATTTTTCGATTTTAATATCATAAGCCGCTTAAGTTTCGCACACGAAACGATCACGTACGATCTCAATTTTTTGTTAGATTACTTATTATGCTGACGTGAATATTACATCACTTGAAATATTGGGAGCGTTATCTTGATTTTTTTATATTTTTATGGTTGTGGTTTTGAAAATTATTTTTTATGAAGGCATCAACTTTGCCAACTATAAGTCTGCACTGTGATAAAACAGTTATCCATTAACTTGCATATCCAATTTAACATATTCTTAATTAAGAAAACTCTCAATGTGTCGTCGACCTATAAATTAAAGTTACTTATTTTATACCTTATTTATTATTACAACAAATGACGTAGCATTTGTGCTGCTAGTTATAACCTGATACAAATAGTTTTAGGGAGCCGCATGTGTCACAAACTCTTGTGGCACAAACTTGCGGCTCACGCGTTCAAATCAAGCATTCATTATTTGCATTAAATGTTGCAGGTTTTGCAGGTCTCTGCTGATTGCCTCCATGTTAGAATGCCATGCAATTCTGCACGCGTGAATTTTTGCTGCGGATCCTTCTTTTCTTTTCTTTCTTTCTTATTTATTCTTATAGGAGCACTGGAAACTAGTCCATAAAGCCTTTGCCTAAACTGGGTTTAATTAGCACCTAACTGTTTTAACAGCTCTGAAAACGAAAACCTGAAACAGAGAGAAAACACACACACGGAAAAAAGAAAAAACAATTAATAATAAAATAATAATAATAATATTAAAAAAAACTAAATAGAATTGCGGATCCATTGACGTATGCTTGGGGAGAAACATTCAGCTTTTGTTTCTATGTTCGAGAACTTGAGGAATTTGGCATTTAAAGATGAGAGCTTTGGAAGACTAGCATGTATATTATTCATCATTGCAATAAGTATTTGGGCATACTATTGTAAAGGTTGAGCTGAAGGTAAAGGTTTAGGCATGAACACGGATGGATGATTCACACAAAGTTTTTCTATTGAAAAATATTATAGCGCGCGAGTAGAAACTGATTTTTTACGAATTTTTCATTGAAATCTTAATTGTTTTTTTTTTTTTACGAATTTCTCTTTATACTCTTTAGCAGTTTAAAGATTTAACTTTTTTTCAAATTCCTCAGGAAGTAATTTTGCTGCTGAGTGGATGAAGATTTTTTTTATATATTGACGTCAGAGAAATTCGCATGATAATGTTGAGAGGCGCCTCAAAGGTAGACTCTTTAAAGTAAACTAAAATTTCCAATAGCTCCCATTTATATATTGACGGCATATAAATCAAGGAAAACTTAGGACGATTTTCAGAATCTAATCATGATATATTCTATGCTCATGATAATTATTATCAGCTGCATTGTTTTTACTTCAACCCAATCCAAATTCAACCCCATTTAGCTCTAGCAGTGCAATGGTTGGCGCTCTGTAATAATGGGCTGGATTGCAGGGTTGAGGTTGGGGCTCTGTATTACTGGCTGGATAATTGCAGGGTTAAGATTGACTCCTGTAACATTGGGTTGGTTAGCACCTGAGGTTGAAACTCTGCACCACTGTTTTGATCGGCAGAGGTTGAGGCTTGAGGCTGTGGTTGCCTGCAGAGGTTGAGGTAGGGCTTTTTCTAGCTCAGGGCTGACTAATTGGCGGGGTTGAACGCAAGAATGCAGTGCTTTTCAGTTCAACGATTTGTCCTTTTAACCTAACGAGTCTAGCTTTATTTTTTGCCTTCTTGCGGTGCGGTCTGGAATCCGAACATCCATTAGCTGCAGCGCTCGATTCTTGGAATTAGTTTTTTTTTCAGTCCCTTTTAAAAAAATTACAATGCCTTTCAGGGCTGTGAGTTTTTATTTCTTGAGTCCTAATGACAAATTAAAGATCAAGTTATAAGCGTTTATTTATTCACAAACTATAGATCGTTGGACATTGGTGCAGTCGCCTGCATCTTGAACACAGTTGCTCTATATACTGTATTACAATAAAACTTTGTACATGAAAAGCTGAATGAAGAAAGTAAACTGGTTTTCACGAGCGGAATTTTAATGTCTAGACAGACGTGAAATGCAACAATCATGAGCATTGTTATCGTATCAGAACACATAAAAAATTTATCAGCTAGCCATAAGGTGAGTGATCGAGTATACTTAATAATACTTTGACGCACAACATGTCACTTCTGTCGCGCTTTACGCTTCATGTATAACATTACTGGCATGGGACATGTGATGTGTATGATATGATACGTGATGTGTAAGCCATCCGACGTGTGTGACATGTGACATACATGACTGGCGACTTAATTGGCATGTAACATAAATGATAATTTTTCTTCTAACTTCCATCATCCAATTTTCCATCGAATGGTTTCTCTCACGTATGATTTGCCCTGCTCTCCCTCAAATAGCTCACAACTCGCTCTAGTTTCCCTCAGTTTTGGCATTGTTAGAGCGAGCTCAAGAGTTGCCGTATTAGGCACGAGTACAATACTGACAGCCTCTAATGATGCTCTTCAGTGGCGTGCCTTTGTCAGCTCACCGCCCCAACATTGCAGTTTTTGAACCTCCTCTACCAGTGCGATCTCCCTGGCTAGATCAATGATATCCTGGGCCTATACTTTCCAAAAAAGTTATGAGATCGTAAGTTCATCAGCCAATCATTGCCGGCCTTTCAAGCCCAATCCACCAATCATAGACAAGAAAATAGAGCGTAAGTACTTACGTTCACTTAGCGAGTTTTGAAAGTATGGCCCCAGCTGCTGCACAACATTTAAGTTATTCTCCTGGTAACATCATATGAATAACACCTGAACTTGAAAATTGTCATTTTTGTCACCTATATTCAGCGAATACAACTGCTCTAGTTTGTGCAGATAGTTTGTGAAAGGTGATACGGCTAAGTAGCAATTATCAACTTGGCTTTAAAGATTAGGACTTGATAGTGAACGATTGATTTTTTAAAGTAAACTAGACTATTTATTACAATATTTTCCTTTTCTTTATATTTCCGACAAAATTTTCGCGCCAATAATCCTATTTTAGAACAGTCCGTGTACCATGATGCTGTATTTTTTATAGTTATTCTTTTTTATTGTTCTAATTTTTTTGTTCTTCAGAAGCTTGATATACTCGTATTTTCAATTCCCACTGCCTGTTTAAGTTTAGTTGACTATCCAGAGCAGGGGTCTCCAAACTTTTCAATGTGCGGGCCACATCATATATTTCCCATAATTATGCGGGCCGAACTAATAAAAAATCAAATAACAAAAAAACAGTGCCAGTAATTTCATTAACTCAAATATTAAAGTATAAACATGGACTTTTTCATGTACTTTCTACTTTTCTTTATCTTTTCCATATCTGAAAACTTAAGTGTAAAATAAATGAAATAAATTCTACAGGAAAAAAACGGCTTGTATTTTGTGTTAAAAAGGCATAGCATATTATTATAAAGTGGTAAATATTATGGCAACGGCTTTCGTTGATAAACTTAATGGTTACCATTTTAACTCTTTCAAACATGCAATATTTTTGGCTACAATATTATTATTGTTATTTTGTATAATTAAATTAAAGGTATTGTCAAATGCAGAGAAAAGAATATTGTACGGTGCTGTGCTCCCTGAAACGGAAGCAGGGAAGCCCCACTCGGTCTCCATCCCCACAATATACAGTTATACATAACTGATTGGTTGTAATGCACAACACATACCTGCCAGTATTAGTATCTGTTCGTCACACTATCGAGAGAGAGGAAAACTAACTCGTGCTGAGTGCCACCAGTCAGCAGGTCACAGCTTTGAATAGTTATGCGATGCCATTCATAAAATAATTATTTATTCATTTCACGATTTCGTACGGCGGGCCGGATGAAATTATGTGGCGGGCCGGATGTGGCACGCGGGCCATAGTTTGGAGACCCCTGATCCAGAGGATAGTTATTATATTTCTGCGTGACTTTGATCTCTTTGCCTGTGCGATCACTCCAAACGATGTTCATAATGATATACAATTTCAAGCTCACTTATAAATGTAGATATTCCTGTATTTTTGTTCTGTTCACATTAGATTTCTTTGGTTATTGCCGGATTCAGGTTCTAGGTATTTCAATTCTTTGTCAGATATATTAGCCGTCTTCTATTCAAACCGCAACTATTGACCTGGGCCCATACTTTCAAAATAAGTTAAGAGATCGTAAGTTCATCAGCCAATCATTGACGGCCTTTCAAGCAAAATCCACCAATTAGGGACAATAAAATAGAGCGTAAGTACTTACGTTCACTATACTTTCAAAAAAAGTTAAGAGATCGTAAGTTCATCAGCCAATCATTGACGGCCTTTCAAGCAAAATCCACCAATTAGGGACAAGAAAATAGAGCGTAAGTACTTACGTTCACTTAGCGAGTTTTGAAAGTATGGCCCCAGGTAACGAAAGTAATTGTTAGTACCCAAATGGTCCATCTTTTGTTTCCGGATGAGTTAACAGTGGTCATGCTGTTCGTACCTGCACTCAGGAAAATAAATAAGTTAAATTGTCTAAATAGTGACACACTTAATGCATGTAGCTCTGATACATCCTTAAGCAGGGCAAAACTGGGCCTGATGGCCCACAAAAGTGAAAGAAGTGCATCGCTATTTTGGTAAAGTCTATAAATTTTTATGAATATGAATATATTATATACAATGGTTACTACTATGACTATGCACGTTGCAGGAGCTGACATCGTACCTCTCAATTATTCTGAATATGAATAAATATATACAATAATAATAATGATCATGCACGTTGAAGGAGATAACATCGCTCCTCTCAATTATTCAGAATATGTATAAATGTATACAATGATAATTATAATAATGATTATGAACGTTGCAGGAGCTGTCATCGTACCTCTCAATTATTCTGAAAATGAATAAATATATACAATGATAATAATGATCATGCACGTTGCAGGAGCTGACATCGTACTCCATCTACAACATGAAGCGTCTACACGAGCTCTACCTGCGGCAGCTCATCTACCTGAAAGCCATTGACGACTACGCCATCAATGAGTGCAATAATCTCAGGAACCTGGAGCTGCAACTCCTTCCTAGGATATCATTCATCTCTTCCAGGGTGAGATGCAACTGTGAACATAACAGTTTTCCATTATTTTATATATTTGAGTATTACATAATCGCGTTTTGTTAATTTCTGTCTCTTATACACATCTACCAATGCGTCCACGNGGTGCGTATACCGCTACAAGACTTGAAGTTGTCGTACACGAGGCTGGAGACGCTGCCGGAGGGCCTGCTCAACTGGACGCTGGTCAAGTCTCTGGAGCTCAGCCACAACCAGTGGCGTTGCGACTGCCATATGGCCTGGATCAAAGGCTCCCCGGTCGAAAAACTTGTCGGAGAGAATTTCTAGTAAGTTTTTGTATGAAATTTTTTATATTGAAGTATATTAATAGTCTACTTTATATTTTTGGCGCATTTTCCTATTTATGGAAAGACGGTGCCATTGTACTCGTCATTTCCGTCCGTCTGTCCGTCCGTCTGTCTGTCTGACCGTCCGTGACTTCACGTTTTCGTCGACGAGAAAATGCGCTCTCTGTCACTCACTGCAGTTAGTACTGAGTTATATTTTTTTAATATTGTTTGTGAAAGCAATACTTAAAATTTATTTTTTCTAAGCGAGATGTGTTAGTTGAATTTGGAATGATTTAATACTTGAAAGCTATTTTTGAATTGATTTTTTTCTTAGGGAGGCAATTGATTTTTTTATTTTTAATTTAAGGTAGGATTGGAGAAACTTAACATAGCAAATGATGTGAGAATTTTACTGAAAAATTTGCGACAATATGCAAGGAATTTTCAGATTTTTCAGATTTCATTGCAAATGAAATATGAAACACAAAGCCGAGGTAAAAATTAGAAAAGTGAATTATAGAAATAGCGATGTTGTTGAAAATTTTATGTACTAAGATCACGTGATTGCCTGGACCACAAATTTACCAGAAATTTAAAAACAGAGAAGATTTCGCATATTTCCACCATTTATATCTCTATGAAGAAAATGTTTCGGAGCCGAGCTCTATCGTCAGTTCGACAATCCAAGATGAGTGTTTTATTTTCTGAAGGTTAAAGATATTTTTGTGTCATCTTCTTCGTTTTTAAATTAATTAGAAATAACATTTTTACGATAAGGTAAAATAACTAAAAATAATATTTTTACGATAAGGTAGAAATAATGAAAAATAATATCTTTACGATAAAGTGAAACAACTAAAAATAATATTTATACTCTAAGGTAGAAAAAACATTTTTTCAATTTTTGAGTCATGGTGTCGTGCAGCTGCTCGCTGCCGAACAGACTGCGCGGATCGCCGCTGTCGCAGCTCAAAGAAGAAGATTTTGTGTGTAAAGCCAGCGACGATTACCCTGACCCCAAGTGAGTATAATAGAACAAATTTATCGTAATTATCGTACAAATTTATTGTCATTATCGTTGAAATTTATCATCATGAACTCATTTTATATGATTTAATGTTTCTTTTTTTGACTATTTACTATCTTTCATTCATACTTATATCGTAATTTATACTGGCCATATTTAGTAGGTAGGTTGTTTAATTTAATTAATGTGCTACTTAATATTGGTAAATTATTAAATCAATCTAATTAATAATTTAATTATTTAGTAGTTTATTTAATCGATTTAATCACATTGATTTCAATATCGAGTTATATCTTGCTCGATTAAAATGGAATCATTGAAATAAATTATTATATATACAGGCAATGGGGTGTTGTGGCCGTGCTGCTGCTGGTCGGCGTGCTCGCTTCCATCACGACCGTAGCGTTCCTATTCTACCGCCGTAACGGCTTCTTGTGCCGTAAAACTGACAACTACAGCCAACTTAAAGCTGCTAGTCGTGAGACTATCACCGTCGTGGACTCATCAGCCGTGTCCAACACCGACGCTGAGCTCAACGTTGCATGAAATTTTGGCCCTGAGTTCAACACCAGAATAAATTAATCGATAACTTAACGCTTAGCTCTACTTCTGGCGAAATTTCGGCGCTGTATGCAGCATCAGCTGAAATTCATAATGACTTGACACTAAGTTCTATACCAGCTAAAACTATCAATGACCTGACGCTGAGTTCAATATCAGCTAAAATTACCAATGACTTGACGCTGAGTTCAACACAAGCTGAAATTCTCAATGACTTGGACACTGAAAAACTGGAACGATGAGAACACGTGTTTCTTTTAAAATAATATGATTTATCACGTAGAAACTTTTCTAAAATATTGACAAAACTTA